TCAACACGTGATATATGATAACACGAGTATTCAGCCAATCATCGGATGAATTAGTTGGTTCCGTTTTGCGTACTGGTTCTCCTGCTCTTGTTTCTGTAAAATCCGTAGTTTTTTCCATACTTTTCGTAGCTCGTAGTTTTTCATGAATTTCCGTAGAAACTACGGAGAATCCGTAGTAGTTGGAGTCTATGAGAAATGGAGAAAATCTGCTCCAAGAAATGGGTGTACTAACATTTGCTATAAGAAAAGTCCATGTACACTGTCGTCTCAATTTGAAATCCAAAGAAAGTGTTTTTTGACCATAAACATGAATAGTAGAAGAATTAGCAGTGAAAAGTGTTTGTTGGGACGAATTCCGTTTTTTGAGAATTATTTGCTGGAAGTAAGGACACGTCAGAGCCGGTATCGACCAAGAATGAAAGGTTTGTTCTACGGTCACGAACGAACAGGCGACGTGAAACTTGAGGCAAAGAATAAGTCGCCTCTATTCTTTGCTGGTTTCGTTTCCCTGCCATGAACAAGGTTTTGTACATTTGTCATCTCTACACTTTTTCCAAAACGTCTATGATACCAGCAAACAGAATAATCTCTCCTTTTGGAATTGCTTCTTTCCTTATTGCGATCTTCGCGATTTGGTGAGGGACCACGAGAAAGAGAAATGCGATCAATACGTTTGTTTAATTTTTCTATTTGTTTAAATAATTTATCCTCAAGAGACTGATCGACTGTGCGAGAAACGGAACAAGTCCCTGGGGTTGGATTTACTTCTAAAATTCTGTCGGCAATTTCTGCAGCTTTATCTACAGTTAAATTGGAAACCGCTGCCAAAATAGACTGAACAGTCGAAGGCAAACGTTGAAGGAATAATTCTAACATTAAGTTATCAGGAACATTTAAAGATTCTGCTCGACGCTTCATATTTCTAAGCAAATTGGAAGGTTTTCGAGAACCTAATTCTTCTCCAGATAATAATTGGCGAATTTCTTGCTGAGAAGATTCTCCTGAACGATTCATTAACTCAGTTTTGAGCTTTGTATATGGATCAATAGGATCTGGTTTCATAAGTAAATCCCGTACTATTGATGCAATATCTGGAGGAAGATGAGCAACTACATAATTATATTTAGTAATGGATTCTGTGATAGGTTTGGGGGTGGCAAGAGCAAAGGTACTTTCACACATAATAAACCATAAAGATGGGTCTGATCGGTTATAAACCGGAATTTGGACGGCATGAACATCAGACATTGTGCAAGGTTTTTTAAGCCAAAATAAAAGCAAAAATTTAACTAAAGAAAATGAAATTAAATGATAAGTAGGAAACAGAATTATAAAATGATCTATAATTACTACTCATCTGTGATTCCGGAGGATGAAAAACCGATGTAATCCATTACTTCTGGTTTGGAGATCTTGAGTGATGGCCTTGTAGTCAAAACCGAAAGTGCTTGAGAACGATGTTCATACGGCCTGATTTAACACAGTCCGGGTTACCATTATGGTGATTCCTATCATGTTGTTACCTGTTATGTTTTACCACCAATCCTCGAGTTCCATATCACAGATTATGTTTCTACTGCATTGATATAAATATTAACAAGACATAGCGCACAATAAAAATTAAGCTTTATTTAGGAACATCGCGCATACTCCCCGACAGCCTGCCTGTTTCGCTCTGCTCGCTACTCGTAAGAAACATACTCCTCTAGGGTTGCCACACTTATCGGAGGGCGCAAGGCGCGCTCCTTATCGCCATCACCACAACTTTAAAAAATGATGACAAACCTAGCTGCTATTTTTGCCAAGGCGAGCATGTCTCCTCCTATCGTGGATGTCCCGATGTACAAAAAGCGATTCCAAACCAAACCAGCAGAGAAAACTCACGAAATTCCCAATCTTAAAGATTTTCTCGCCCTCTCAAAAAATGAAACAGCTAATAAAGAAAATCCAAGAAATATCTCATACAGTGCAATCCTAAAAGGACAAAAAATTCCAACAGAAGATGAAAACCCAATAACAGAAGTATTTTCAAACCAAAAAGTATTTAAATTCATCCAAGACACGACCGATGTAGCAAAAGATATTAAAACAGCAAAATCAAGCACCGAAAAACTCGCAATAGCCTTCCAAGCAGTGAAGATTGCCTTGCAATTTGCCGAAGACGAAACTAAGTTCTTACTCAGACCCACCAACAGATGGCGACACTTATGTGAAGAAGCTAAGCCCAAATCGAGATCATCAGCCTGCTTTTCACCGGTGCCAAAGGATGGCGCCACCTCTGCAATAGAAGCGAATGCTTCTGAAGTACTTCTCAATTCGGAATCCCTAACAAGGATATGTAGCTGCCTGGTTAACCCAGCGGAAGTCGCACCAAGAAAAGTTACTAGAGTGGGCGCGTGAGGTATCGGGGTATCACATACCCCAATATTTAAAATACGATAAAAAATAGAGTTTTATTTAGTTTTAAAGCTGTTTTTCTCGCTCTCGTGTATTATAAATACGTGAATAATAATTGGGTTTCAAAAAATTAATTTCCAAAATAATCTTAGAGTTAAAATTAAGATAAATGAAAATAATAAAAAATAAAAGTCATGCCTCTAAGTTTCATTGCATCTCTAATATACAATGCTTATTTTATTTCTTTACACTTTGAACGAAATACATTCATGTGTTCTTGACACAGAATGTTTTCACATTTTAAACATTGCATTCACGTTCTTTTGTCCTTGGCGCGAGGGCAATTTATCACATCTTTCATACTCAGTTGTTTCGAATTTCATGTATTCGTTTTAATTCTTCATCGAAACTTCTGCTTTTGTTTTGCATACAGTACGTCAGTTTCTTGGTAAAGTGTTAATCTCTGATTCTTTGTTCAATACTTTTTTTCATTAATTGTAATGCTAAGTCCTTCAAAAACAGACTTCTGTTTCTGGTTGGTGGATTAGCAGTTGAATGTAATATAATTCAAGCATTTATTACAGCAACATTCAGTGCAGGAAAGAAAATTACCATTGGCCACCTCCTTGTTATTCTGGAAATTCAATAACTGGCTGACATTTCATCCCCCATATCCACTGATCATTTATCATATTATAAAAACATATAATTCCTGACGTTTTATTTTCTCCAATAGTATCATCTATAGTACGATCGTTATATAATGTTGAAAGCATAAGAACAGTTTTTCCTTTTTTAGGAACATTAGGAATTAATGTTTTATCTTTTTCGAAACCAAAACAGTGTAGAAAATATTCTTCAGTCTCCGAAATGCAATCTTCATCGCTTTCAAATATTTCTAATAAATGTCACAGGCGTTGCATCTCCAATTCATATGGAGTCATTCTTTTTAGCATAATGCGGTTAGAAATTTGTAAGAATTTAATGTCAAGTATTTTAAAATCACTTGCGAGTAGAAATATTTACTGTTCACTCTAAAATATATTTCTCAACTAAATATTCGGTCGAAAACACTTACGCGACAGGCGCGTGGGGTGTGTCATACCCCACTTCAACAAAACGATAAATCTTTTTCTGAAACACGCAGCAAGAAAAAGCGGTTCTGAAAGTCAACCACAGCTAGAAACTCAGCTACTGAATGCAGCACAGAATTTCAGTTTCACAAGTTAGGAATATTCCACTTTTTTGTAGAGGTGGGATATGATACACCCCACGCGCTTTCCCGCGGGTTAAAGAACTTTTCAGGTCTGTGTACCAGTTCTTAGGATCAGGATGTGGATGTGGATAACATTCAACTACAGAGCTGGATTTATACTTGATAAGGCCCTAAGCTATTTGAGATTGCGGTGCTCTTTAAAGTCTGTTATACTATATTAGGTCGTTTACTCTTAACACATTTGATGCACTCTGAAAGTTTTCAATAAATTTAAAGCCTAATTGTATACATTACTGCCGAAGACATATTGCAATATAGAACAAAATTTAAATTTTTAAAGTTGACTTACCGTTTCAGAAGTATTTCAGTCAGATGCAGAAAACAGTCGAACTATCAATTCTCAATGTAATCCTTGGCACAACAGAAGCACTGCGAACACTCAATCCGCTGACGAACTGAGATAAAAACTATGAAATTTTACAATGGACAAGTAGCTACTTACGACGCTGTCCGTAACATATATTTAATACACAGGTGAACTATTTATAACGTGCCTATAATGTCAGTGACATCTTGTTTTTACAGAAAACATGGTACTTTTTTTTATTTTCCATCTTACACTTCATAAATAGAATCGGATCACATCCGGGTAAACCAGTGTGTGGTTTGGAACGTAGCAAACTGTTTAACACTGTTCAGACTCCGATAAGATTAATATTTATTAACATTTTTCGCACGTCGGATCACACAGACAGAAAATCACTGATCTTTTGATTTGGTGAAAAAGAATCGCACGCGAAGAATTTCATAGATGGCGCTTCAATAATGCAAATGATGTCGCCACAAGACCCATGGCATAGTAATATATACTAATAATTAACACAGAAAATAGATCTCATAAGTTATATTTATGTCTTCCTGTTTTTTGTAAATCACTGATGTGTTTGCACAGGTGTGAAGTGTGAGAGAAGTACAGCGGGTTAAAATTCTCGGTGCTACCATTCTTCGCCACTCATTTTACGTTCATTCACAACATGAAGTATGTAACAAAACTGTCAATTTAAAGATAAGAAATGTAACGTCTAGCAAATCATTTGGATAAAGAAGTTGTTTATAAGACCTAATGGAAATCTGCAGAGGACAGAAACCTCATGTATGTGAGGTATGTAATAAGTCATTTAGACAAAAGAGTGATTTATTCAAGCACATACTTATTCACACAGGAGAGAAGCCTCATGTGTGTGAGGTATGTAATAAGTCATATAGACAAAGAGGTAATTTAAATGCACATATGCGCATTCACAGTGGACAGAAACCTTATATGTGTGAGGTGTGTAATCAGTCATTTAATGTAAAAAGTAATTTAAACAAACATATACTTATTCACACAGGGAAGAAACCTCATGTGTGTGAAGAATGTAATAAGTCATTTAGGCAAAAGATTAATTTAAAAATGCATATGCTTGTTCACACTGGGGAGAAACCTCATGTGTGTGAAGTATGTAATCAATCATTTAATGTAAGAAGTAATTTAAACAATCATGTGCTTATTCACACTGGAGAAAAACCACATGTGTGCAAGATATGTACAAAGTCATTTAGACAAAAAGTTTCTTTAATTTTTCATATGCTTATCCATAAATGTGAGAAACCTCATATGTGTGAAATATGTAATAAATCGTTTCGACAAAAGAGTGATTTAAACAGACATATGCTTGTTCACACAGGAGAGAAACCTCATGTATGTGATGTGTGCAATAAATCGTTTAGGCTAAAGACTGTTTTAAACAAGCATATGCTTATCCACACTGGGGAGAAGCTTCATGTGTGTGAAGTATGTAATCGATCATTTAAACAAAAAGGTAATTTAAACATGCATATATGTGCTCACACTATATGTGTGTAAGTTTAGACTAAATGGTTGTTCAAGCAGACATATGTTTATTCACACAGGAGAGAAACTTAATGTGTGTGATGTGTCAGATTAAAGGCTGCTTAAAACAAGCATATAAAAAGTCATGTAGAAGCAAAAGGAATTGCTAAAGTATGAATACATTCAAAGTACTTACTTTAGAATTATTTTCATACTTTGACAAGATAAGTTAATTGCAAAGTTCTTGTTATTATATAATTTATTTCTTCTGTTAATTACATGTATAAATTGATACTGCTATACATACTAAAGACAAATACTGAAATATAATAACTAATATTATATAGATGTGTTTACTCAAAGAATTATTAATACAACAGAGGCATGTACAAATATTATATTAGCATTTAATTATGCACTTTTATCTGCCAGATAAAATCAATATGATGAATGTATATGATACATTGTTTAACTGCTTTCTGTTCTTTAAAACAGACATCTGAAGAAAACATTTTTTCTCCCTTTCTTATTTTTTAAATCTCTGCAGTAACATTTATTTTTGATAAAGATTCCAGTGCCTGAATTCAGTTTCCTTTACTGATGGCAGTTTCTATGAATAAATTAAAGTTGACTTAAATAGTTGTCTCAAATGAAATGGAAATTATTTCAATTTGAGTATTACAATGGATGTTACAAGTAAAAACTAAACTGGGACTCTGAGAAGTATTATATAAAAACTAAAAGTAAACTGGAACTCTGAGAAGTATTTTTAAAACAGCAGAATATAATATATGCATATCCAGTTACCAAAGGGTATGGAATATCAAACAACTGCTTTTTGTCAGGATGTATGTGTCACATCCAAATAATACGTAAAAATGAAAAAGGTTGTGCAAATATTTACATTATCATCTAACAACATATTGTAATTTATATAGTTAGTCTCAATATTATAAACAATTCATTTATAAATTGTGTATTTTACCATTTCTAATAGTTACATCCATTTATTAATATTGATATGCACTAAATACAAATCATACAAGCAAACAACATCTTTATATATCCTTGAACAGAGGTATATTTGATGAGGTATATACATATTAACACAACCACCTTAGTTCTCTTTGGCAATTTTTTATAAATGAAAAGTGTGACACTTGTTTCACAGTTGAAGCTAACTCCATCGATAGAACACAGCAATAACTTTATTTAACACATTAATTTCACAAGATAAAAGATACACTCAAATCAAGAAAAATAGCAGCATGCAAACCAGAAAAGAAAACACCTTATAACTTTTTAAAAATAAAATAATTGCTTTCTTCGTGTAAGAACCACATGCAGCTCTTGAGTCTGTGTTTGATATATAGCCGGTAACATATACAATATTCTTCATCTATTTCAATTGCACAAAATTTTACCAACAATATTTAAAGCTATTACAACCTGACAGAACAATAAAAAGACAAAAAATTATTACATTCTTTCCATTTATTGAATAAACTCCAGAATCATAACATATTAGTAAGTTATTCCATTTAGTAGCATGAAAAGTGAATCCAAGCAACAACTACAAAGACTGAATTTTTTAACTTGTTTAAATTTGGTTCTAGAGTGAGTTATGCACAGGCATGTAAGTTCTAGAGTTAGCAGCATACATAAGTAAAAAGTGTGTGCACTAAATTTCATGATGCTATGTCATATTACTGATAGAATTAGTTTCACTATGCCAGAGAAAATTGCCTGAAATATAAAAGTATTACAGTCAAAAGTCGTTAATTCGGACACCCATAATTCGCAATGATCTATAATCCGGACCTCAAAACTAAAAACTATCTGCGCATGCGCCGCGTTGACACATGCGCATAGGCGTTTACGCGTGCGCGTAAGACCCTTTACGACTGTGCATATGAGTGTGCGCAAGTGCAGAATACGTTTTCACGTGCGCGTTTTATTATAATGGACGTATAAGCTAAAATTGTCTAATTATCTATTTCAGTTAATGTTGATGATTGCGTTGTTCCTTAATTTTCGAATTGGATCCGGCTTATTATTTTTTGCAGACTGTAAGAGCAATTTTATAAAAGTAAGCTTAAACTTTCGATTATATCAAATAGAATTTCCGATATATATTTGTTAATATGTAAAGGATCTAAAGCGAAAATATGTTTTGAAATCCGAAATCTGTTTATCAATTTCACGCTGCTCGGCGGAGGGGGTTGCCGCGCGGCGGGCGCGTAATGAATTGGAAGTTGATCTGTCAACACTATCTTTATCTTCAGCGCAGATGTCATTATTTATCTTATTTTGTAATCTTCTATGTTTATTTCAACTTTAGTTTGAATTTGATTTCATAATGACAATTTCCAATGTTTAATTTCTACAAATAATATAGTACTCAAATGCATAAACATGAAAGCGTCGGGAACGGTTACTCGAGTTAATTAGGATTTCTCTACAGTAATTGATTTTTACTCCAAATTGAATTGACTAAAATGCTTCATAAGAATAAGTTCTTTGAGTATCACATTGGTTCATAATTCCTTCTATTCCGCGGAAATATTTGGCCTGACTAGAATGGCCGGTTTGGCTTTAACTTATAACTTGAGTTAAGACGAAACACTTTCGTATTTACGTATTTTTATCAATTATTGTTCATTGAACGGGAGTTGGTTTGTTCCCCTTGAAAGAACATAGAAAAGTCAACTAATTTCCGATCAATGACAATGATTACATGTTTTAATTTTTCCTTTTACAACTGAAATTTTATTCTTCATGATGATTTAACTCCAGTCCCCGTTAAAACATTATTAACATTTGGCTTTCAAATTACTTCAAAATATTTTTCAAAATATAACTTACCAGTATGGATTCACACTTTTAAAATAATTCTACTTTAATTAAACTTAGGAGATAATATAATCAATTAATCAATACTGTTTAGGAAATAATTTACTAATATGTAATATGTACAAAGCGAAAGTATGTTTCGAAGTCCATTAAACAAAAAGTGGAATTGCTGCAAAAAATGGATAAAGGCATATCCTTCGTTTCTCTAACCATTCCGAAAATCTGTTTATCAATTTCACTCTGCTCTTCGGTGGCCGGGGGGAGGGGGGAAACGCTGCGGCGCACAATGAATTGGAAGTTAATCTGTCAGCACTATCCTTATCTTCAGAGCAGATGTTTATATTTTATTTGGCTTATAATTCCTTACTAAATGTAGTATTTCATCTCGATGTACTCCGTCTTTGATATGATTTAAATCAAATTCCTCGTCATTATAAATCGCTTCCGATAAAGAAGAAAGTGACACAGAGGTTATTGAAAACGAAAAGATTTCGATTGACAAATTAGTCGGTATTCTCGACACAGCAATTATAGGACTTGAACAGCAGAACTTTGTAACTGAACAAGAAATGATGTCTGTTTATAGAATTAAAGAGAAAGTAATATCACATAAAACGAAGCAACTTAAACAACTTACATTGGAAGAAATGTTTAATAAAGTAAACAAATAAATATTAAGTTTTTTTTTTTTTTTTGTAAATTTTGATACCCTTTAGATCGTAATCGATATTTTTAATTTTATAATTTCTGCATGCCATCTTACCAGATTTAAACTGATGATCTATAATCTGGAATCGCCGAAGTCCCGACGAGTCCGGATTAACGACTTTTGACTGTACAAAGTCAGTAATCCGGACTCATCGGGACTTTGGCGATTAGGGTTTTTTCCAGATTACAGATCATCAATTTAAATCTGGTAAGATGGCATGCAGAAATTATACAGTTGAAAATATGAAATACCCAGATTTTGAGAAATTTGAAAATAATATTATTATGAAGATTGCATCTTTTTATACTCTCAAAGATTTATGTGATGCTGAAAAGAATAATTTAGTTGCACTTAAATGCTCTTTGACTTTATCTCTCTTAATCTCTTAACCCATCAAATTTAGAAAGGCAGAATGTTAAACTCGTACTGCAGGTTTTTAATGAACATGTAGTTAATACTGTAGTAGAAGTAGAAGAAAAAAAGAATCTGCAATTTGCCAAAGAAACCGGAAATTTTATTTAAAAAATTCATGTTTGGTGGTGCATTATAGATGTAAAAAGTCCCCATAAAGAAGTATGGCTAAGAAATGAAAATATGAATCCATTAACTAATTTGCCTGATGATGAAAATGCAAAATTCTTAAGTAAATTTTTGAATTGGCTGGATGTTTGGAAAAGTATGTGATGTACTACATGGAATTTTACGAAAGAAACTCATCATGCTCTTACTCACACAACTCATTCTTTGTTGAAAATGAAGGAGTATTGTATCAAAGAACTGAAAATGAAATATTTTCTCTGTGAAAAAATACAAACTGATTCCTTAGAAGTATGATAGAAATATTTCTTAAATATTCGGAAAGTATAGAATTTTAGCCAGATTGCAATATATTTGAATGCGAGTCCAAACTTGGATTACAAAACACTTTTTCATTGAGATCTGCAACTTTTGCTCAAATTACTATTGATGAGTTTAATGCTGTGTCTTCATGTGAGAAGAAAGATGTAATTAATTACTTTAATATTGATGTAACTAATGAGGATATTTTAGGCATCGAAAATGTAATACCAGTTTTAACATATCTTGCAGGATATTGTGTTTATGCCATATGCAAACAACAGAAGTGTTCATCATGTATGTCACAGTTTTCAATTGATAAAGAACTAATATGTGAAGATGCATATCGCTTAATTTCAAGTATGGATAGAGGATGTTTAAAGTATCCTTACCCAGGCATTGTGAATTGCTATATAGTAGTTCAAAAACTTCTTTCTGAGAAATACGAAAGTGAATTTTTAAAAGTTCAAAATCAATGAAATTTTGCATTGACTCTGCATTTTCTATTAGAAATAATTATTTAATTCAATTGATATATGTGAGTTAGGTCATACTGCTGAATATTTTGTGAAACAAATTTTGTGGGTGTGTATAAAAATTTTACTCATGAATTACTGTTGTAAAAAAAAAAAAATTATTATTATTATTATTATTATATGTGCCAATATTAATTTAAATCAATTTCATGGTTATTTTTAATACAGAAATTTCAAGTTATTAAATATTCAAATTAAGGATGCAAATTAAACTGTTAAGTTGAATTTTAGATTACACATGCTCTCCTCCACCTAACAACTGCATTTTATGCTTAGTCCTAAAATGTTGACCTAGAACATTTTATGCTTAGACAATTTAAAACGTTTGTCAATTGTTATGAGTAATGTGCAAATCTTGTTTACTTTTTATTGCAGAATAATTTTAGATATCACATTTTGTTTATATTTATTGCAGACTACATTATCCATACCCTTCAAAGGAAAAGACATTGTTGCAAAAGTTGACTGCTTGTCTAAAGAAAAGAGTAACCTACAAAACAAAGTGTGGGTTGTTTTAACACATGGTGCTGGTGGAGATATGAATACATCACAATTAGCTGCATTAGCATCATTTTTATCAACTTCAGATTTTGTAGTTTTACGTTTTACATGTAAATCTCTTAACATTAAATATCGAATTAAAGTCTTCCTCGAAGTTCTTGTAAGTACATTTTTCAATGTATTCTTATATCTTTATTAAATTGATATGTGAAATAGTCTTTAATTGTGATATTTGGTACTTACATATTAATGCAATTCGCCAATTTTTTACAGATAAAAAGGTAAAAGTTACTTACCAGTTACAAGTTGGTAGTTTTCCTGGCTTTCTTTTAGAAAGATTCCCAAATTAACGATATTTAATGTAACTCGCTAAGCATTATCAACATATGAAAAAAAAAAAAAAACATACTTTAGCAATTTAAAATAAAAATTTTAATTATTAAATAAGGATTATGTAATACATTTAAAAAATAAAACATTTATTCTACTTCTTCAATAAAAATAAAACATTTATACTACATTTCTCCTTCAAATAATTTGTGATAGTCTTCGCCTTAAGTATACAGAAACCTTTTCGCTTAAAAAAATCAGAGAATTGCAGAGACCTGGCTTTGTATAACTCCTGGCAGCAGCACCTATTTCTTCGTTGTTCCCTTTAGAAAATTTGGTACTTATGTATTATCGCAACCAGGTTGGTGTGATTTGTAAGTTTGAGTAAAAAAGTATGAATAGAAAGAAAATGTACATTTATTAATTAAAGATGATTTTTAATACAGTTTTTTTATATTATTTGTTTAAAATAAAAATAGCAATTAAAATATAACATAGCAATTACACCCACCCTTCCGGTTTCAAATTTGAATAAGTTGCAGAATTATTTTTTCGGCGGAAATTTTTGGCTATTGCTTTTAGCACTGATTGAAAACCGTCTTCGCCATTAACAGCTTGAGCTTGGCGCCACATAAATTCGATAAGGTATGAGTCAAGATGATGACGGGCTGTTCCTCTCTGTTTTTTGTTGCGCCATTTGGCTGAGGCCCACATGCACTCTACATGTTGTGTGTGAACGCCCGTGTTGGGATCCACAAAGTTATATTTGTGATTAACAGTTCCATGCAGAAATCCAGCATTTTCGAACTCACTTGTATTGTATCCTTTCCAGCAATCTGAATAAATGATGCTTCCTTCCTTGATATTTTCGCAAATTTTTTCCATGAGGGTAACGGTGCTTCTGTTAGGTACAGTAACCAACCTACGTATAACACGTAGGGTTGCCAAATTTGGCGATTTATGCAAATTTTGGCCTGGTTGCGTTAATACGTAAGTACCGAAAATTTTCAACAAAATTCTGTATTCCTGCATAAACCTTAGTTTCTTCCATTGCTGACAAATTTCACAAGATGATATTTATAAAGCAAAAAAATATCATGATAATGGAACTTGGAATACAGCAAAAAAGAATGTATACGAAAATGGGGGCATTGCTTGACTGAAGGATTGTTAAGAGCATGGTTGCCAGAATTTGGCACATTCTGAAAATTTGATGACTTCTTCTAAGGTGATTTCATTAATATGTAAGTACCTGATATTATTCAATAAATTTACACTTTATAACCTGTAAAAGTTATAGATGTATATATATTTTCATACGAAAACAATGTAGAACTAAATGATAGTAAATTAAAAGCAGTTTTTCAATAGTAACACCACCTCAAAAAGATACAAAATGTTTAGCTTGGCAACCATTGTTTAATACTGAAAAATCTTCAAAAATTTCATTCAGGTTGATTGAAAAATCATATTTAGAGAGATTATTCAGTTTACATTAAAGTCTGGTACTCTTCTGTTATTGGAACCGGATTAACCATAAGAAAAAATTGGAACTTAGAATACAACAAAAAAGAACACATGTGAAAATGGCAGCATTGCTTGACTGACTGATTGAGCAATTAGTATCAAATTAAATAGTTTTGTAAGATTTTAACCAAAAATTTAATTTTTAGTCAGTACAAAATATTAGATTAATATATCTTAAAATACATATATAATTTTAATATACTTAGCTGTAAAAAATTATAAATATACTTCCATTTTATGTATATATAAATATCATGCACAAATTTAATAGTTGTGTACCCATTTCACTTAATAAGTAAATAATTTTCATTTAGGATATCGTTAACTAATTTTTTTCACGTATTCAATACCTTTGTTACTCCAGCAACAGCCTGCTATTATTTCTAATCTCATTGCGTGAAAATACTGTTTAATATATTTATGAACGTCATTCAATAAACATTTTTCAGAGTAAGTGCTTGCCTTTTTAACATCCAGTTTGTAATGTAAATTGCTTCCCTTTGAAAGTCTAATTTTATTGAATCAGTTATATATCTTGAGCTATTATCCTTTGAAAATTTCAGTCGTTGAAACTTAATACTAGTACATTAAATGAAACTAAGTGTTCATAGAGTACAAACTAATAATATTGCAATACCTTATTTTGATTGGTTATGAAAATGGGAGGTCTGATCCCATATCTATCACATGAAAATATCACTTCGCCTCTTTTTACTTTTTTATAGTAGGTATACTGAAACATTTCTTTTGCTTTTGGCTCAAACCATGGCAGTAGTTTTAGTTCCCATCTAGATAATGTAGGCTGAATTTCTCCTTGTCAGAGACAATAATAATTCTGTATATATTTCACCAAATTGTTTCAGTTTCTACTCACCTTAATCTTCAACCTTTTTATTTTCTAGCAAATGATTTTGCCTTCATTGTTAACTTATATTCTTAGCCTTATTAGCATTTATTGTACAGGACACTGCACTGCCCACAGAATGGAGTTATTGGGTAGGATACTGTATTATCTGCAGAACGAGCAATTTGACTCTACAATATATTTTGTATTTCTTTCAATCAACACATACTTTCTTATAGTTTTCATTTTTATCGCAATCATACTTGTTTTGATTAATTTTCAACAGTATTATCAAGTCTCTTAATTTAGTTATCTACCTTGGAGATTTAATTTTTATCAATTAAAAAAAATTACTTAAATAAAGGAAGAATTTCGATGGTTTACAGAACCATTGAAACTAGCAGGCAACTATTGGAAAAGTATTTGGCAGTTTTGTTTTCATTCAAAATGGCATTTTTAAAGAGGACTGGATAGAAGGCTACGTTAGTGGTCTTTCCAAAGAAAATTATTCATATCTAGTTATTAAAAAACACTGTGAAAGCCATGGTTTGATATCTAAAGCTACACTAGGTAATATTGTAAACAAGAAAGGAAGAAAATGTCAAAATTTAGCATGAAGTGGAGAAATTGTTCCAAATGCGTATTCAAGGGGAAAAAAACAGAACATTTCGAATGCTGCAAAGATAAGATCTTTAATGTTAAAAGAAAATCTGCCAAGTCTTAGGACAGTTGCAAAAAGCATTAAAATGCTCAGTGTCAACTGAGAACTTAAGATTTTTTCAGCAATGCTGATTTGAAGCTGAAAAAAGGTAAAAAACATAATGTGCATCGCCTTTTCCACGACATATCGCTGAACACAGAATGCACTGTAGAATTCTTTATGAAAAACATTAATATGGACAAAAATAGAAAAATGTTATTACAATAAGTGAATCTTTGGTATATTTAAATGATTGCAATAAAAAGAGATCCATTTATCAAAGAAGAGGAAAAAGTCTTAAAGAATCTAAAGAAAGTTTTACAAAGGTATAATTGTAGCTACTTTTCCGTATAGCGAAAAATTATAAATAAAAAGAGTGGAGAAAATGTTAACATCAACTCCACATGTTATCAGTAACATAGTATTTTATACCCAATTCTCAAATATGAAATACCTTCTCTTTACCCACAGTGACATCAATCAGTAGAACTGCATTAAGACAAAGCAAGCAGCCACACATCAAAATCCACTGTTAACTTCCTGAAAAAAACAAAAAAGGAACAAGAAACGGGTATCAAGGCCATACCCTTTACTCATATCCCTACTAAATCTGATGTATGATCCATGGTGTTTAGACGTTCAAAAATCGGATTGTCCAAAAGTCGACCTATAACTTTCCTTGGACTTCAGAAAACTGTTCAAGAGGAATGAGATAAAATACCTCTTCCAATACTATACTATATACAATGCAGAAATCTATCATGGAAATTACGATGTAGAAAGCTAATGAAGAATGAGAATTATCAAACAAAACATTTAAAACACAACTATCACTGTAAACACAATGAAGATCATCTACAAAATGTGCGAACAGCCTCTGTAAATGGGTCTACCAGTTCTATCACACTGATTAAATGGATAAGACTGTTGAACAGAGGAAATTTATTCTGGATTTAATGCTCAGTGAATAAGCTAATTTCATGGAATTTTCCACATATAATATAGTTCTCCTTGGAAAGTCCATCATAAAGGCAATACTGGTCACTTATGCATCTTAGGCAGATTACCCATGTGTGTTTTGCAATAATTAGTTTAACTAATCAGCCATGAATTTTACTATTCTCTACAATTAACTAGTGATTTAAATTAAATTTGCATTCTTCATTGTAACATCTGCTTTGCTGAGAAAACAGTTATGCATGCCGCAAAGGAACTAGGCTACTCTGCTATCATTTTAGACATTAACATTTTCAAGTAAATTTTTCCTAACAGAGAAGAACATCATTTTACCTCTTTTAAAAACCATGCACCAATTGACTGTAATGAGCTCGAGTTACGTGATGAGGAAGGAATAGTTGCTTTAGACATATTGCTAACATGTGATAGGTTGTAATAAGTTTTAATTTACTCATGACTCTTATAAGTGAAATAAAGTCACCTTTCAGTGTTATATTTTACTTCATCTTCATGAAAGTGTTCTTGTAATAAAAAAGTTTAAAATAAAATATATTAATGCAGTAATTCCGAGTTTAACCCTTCAGCACACGCACATCACTGCGCTACGTTAGTACATGTGAGGGACAAATTTTACCCCATTGTTTGTTTTTCGGAGTTCACCCCCCAACATATAAATAAATGCATTTTCTTTGTTTTCAATGAATGTATAAATGACTAATAGCTTTGTGAATTCTGTTAAACCTTTTCTCCAGTTTTAATTCGAGATAATCTTACTTTAAGTTATACAAGCATTTCCATACTGGTTACCTAAAGTAAGCCATAAAAATCGAAATTTATGCAAAATTACTAACTTATATAAAATACATGTGATTCTTTTATATTAGAAAAGTCCGTTTTCATATATACATATTTTTTAAACATAAGCATTTATTATAAAGAGTGGTTTGACAAAGTACTAGAGGAATATGAAAAGGCTGCATTCTTACTAGCTTTTTTCCTTAAAACTCAATATAATGTCATACAATTAATCACATCAAAGAATAGATTCTAATTAGGAATATTAAAAAATATAAATAACACATACTTTTTCCGCCCCCTCCCACCCTCACATTGAACAATCCTCACATAGTGTGACAACATATTTTTACAAATGCTGGAGTGCTGCTCTCAGCACTCCAGCGTAATATAATAGGGAAAACAACGCCTTCAATTCAGCTACATTTGTCTCTTGTGCATACGTTGTCTAGAAAATTTGTTTCTTATTGATAAAATGTAAATGTTTGTTGATTTCACCAAATCTTCCGTTATTTATTCATCAAAAATGTGCAATAAACACTCAGTTGGATTTTTCAAATTTCTAAAGCTTTTCTTGACACTATATTGTGCGGCCATGTCCGAATGTTTTTCGAGGGTAATTTTTTATTTCAAACTGTTCCATCTATTCAAACATAAAAACCATCTGATGTCAAAGAAGATCATGTGAATCATCATAATACTGGTCAGAATCAGTTTCGTGAGCACTTTCAGAAATATTATCGCACTCAGAATCGGAATCTTCAATTTTGCTATCAGTTTCAACACTAGCGAGAGGAACCCGCAGTCGTTGTACACACTTATCTCAATGAACGTCTCCCTAGAAGTGAAACGTTAGTACACGTGCGGGGTAGCTACAATCCCATTGCACATGCCTTCCCCGAAAACACAAAAATCCCAAGAACACGGGAAAATTCCTCTGGACGACCACTTCCTAAACTTGATCTTGAAAGGTACATAAAGTACTAGAAAGATCACGTACGACCTTCCCTTATTTTCTAAGAAAAGACTACATGTGGGGTGGATTTTACCCCAGCGCGTGTGCTTACGGGTTAAACTACGGAGAGGGAAGCAGTATGAAAAGACAGCCCACATACATGTGTATCATTAGAGGGCATATGCAAAGCAACTTACGAAGCTGTTACATGACAATGTGTTAGCTAGTCATCCATCAATATTACAACCCTGTAACCTTGAAAGCTTGCCTACCATGCTTTTTGGGATAATACATTTTCAACAGAAATAATAAATAATTAAAAAAGTTACATTTATTCTATGCTATTATTTGCATAAATATGAAACATTACATCCATAATCTAAAGTAAAATGAGAATACAGTTTCAAAATAATTAACAATATAAAAGTGAAGAAATCTGTTTTGCAGTCCTTGTGTTCTTTTGGAGATAAAAGTATTTTTAATTACTTAATTTTATAGCTTCCATTATATACAAGAATTGTATATTTAATATAGAATGACCATTTTGATTTAATCCTTTAATCAGATTTTCATAAATTTATCAGAGCAAGTGTGGCTGTCAGTCTTCATATTCAAAATACAAAAAACTCTTATCGTATTAATCGCTTCCGAAAGTGAGATTTTCTTTTATTTCCATTACTCCTGAGAACATAAATAAATACTAGTACTGAATTTCGTATTTTATTCTTCACCCTTACAGGCTGTGCATTGTCATCTCAAAGATGATTATAATTTTTTTCCAGTCCTCTTATGTGAAAACCGCAGCATGTCTTTGTTACAGATTTATAAAAAAAGTACATAGATTATGCTTCACATGCATATATACTAGTTTATGTTTCTTCATGTAATACAAAATTGTTCTTTTTTCTCCATGACTAGGTATTTAATATGCTTACTATTTTCAAGCAACCACTGACCCCCCCAAAAAAAATGTTTTAGTTCCCCCTCCATAAGAGAAATAAATTTTAACCTCCAAAAATTTTTCGAAAATGGCCATAACATGTATTTAGAAAGAAACCATTAGGAAATCGCTGTGGCCATGATAATTTACTTGATGCATTAGCAGCAGCTGCTCAACTGTGGCCACCAGGAAGTGTTTAAAATTAATTTTTGGTATGTTTCCATGCATTTTTAATAAATTACTTAAAAAAGTGTATTCAATAAAATCATAAATATAAATTTAAATTAAATTGCTTCTACACATATACATATATATTTAATAAACTGTGCACTGTAGACATTGCTTGGTTGTATCAATAACAACCTACTGCTCATCAAAGCTGAAACATGCCAATTCCCATTTTTTCAACCAAAGGCTACTATAACATTTATACCAAAACTATACATCATACTGCTTTGTATTTTTTTAAGTGTCTTTATATTCCCTTGCATTTGTATTGACATCACTAGTATTTTTTAAGTAAATGAATTAAATGCAATTTGTTCATTATTGTCTTTATTTATAAGATAATATTCTAATAATTATTTCATGCTGGAATCAACTACCAAAGAAAAAATGAAATATTAGTAGTGAATTTCTTTCTTTTATTAGTTACTTTGTTTTTCAGAATTATATGCAAAAGAATTATAAGCTAAAGGGGATCTTCATTGGTGGTAAGTAAAAATTGCATTTCTTCGTAACTCAGTTTATTTATAGAAAGAATATTTAAGAAATATCTCTAAATCTACCCCCCCCCCCAAAAAAAATGATAAAATTTAGAGAAGCTAAAGCTATGAAACACTATTCTCCTGGTTCATTTTGATAGATGAATTACTTTCTGCACAGCTCATGGCCCGGGTTCTGCTTGCGATAATTACACAAGCTGTCTGCATGAAGTTATTGTGGTTTTCCTCATATGTGGCATGCATAGGAATTGTTTCCCTTAGAAAGTCCTTCAGAAAAGCATCTGCTTACATAGGCAGGTAACTTAAATATGCTATATGCTTTGCCACAGTCAAATAACTGAATATAAAGATTTGAAGACGCATTCCTACCGATGATTGTCTAGTAAGACTGTTGAGCATTGGTAGTTCACCCATTTTTTTAAATCTATTTCCTCATATGTGAATTAAATACAAGCCAGTTTGTTATAGAAAATCTTCCACAAAGACATCTTTTCTAATGCAGTTAGTTCTTTTGTCCTTTGCCATACTCAGTTGACCTAATAACCTTGAAGATATGTAATGCTCATACAGCAGGATTGCCACGCTACTGGGAAATGTAAGGGAATTTAAATATTTTAGTCAAAATCTGGAAAAGTCAGGGAATTTCATACAGTCATCCCAAAAAAGCGATCACTTTCTATGCGAATCATGTATCATGTATTGCATGAGCGTCATTTGGACAGCTGGCATACAGCCAATTTTCACAGCACCAATCAGATTGTCTTTTAGAAAGGCAAAGCAAGTTTCCAGTAACCTCGAGAATCCAGAGATTCATATCTGCAGGGCATGTTAATTCCCCTCTCATTCTCATAAAAAAACAATATCTTTTAAATCTTTTCTTCTTCCTTAAATGCCTTATTTGTCATTTTACAGTAAGATATAAAACAATCAGTCGTCTAGTCTAACCATTTAATAGATCTAGATTCACCAAAATACTGTCGATTTTTGTAAATCAATTTTTAATCCTTAAGTACTTTATTTTAAAGCTATTTGTATTATATAATGTGTCTTCTTCCTTCTAAATTTATTTATTACAGTCAAAAGTCGTTAATTCGGACACCCATAATCCGGACCTTAAAGCTACAAACTTTCTGCGCATGCGCGTAAGACCTTTAGGGCTGCGAATATGCGTGTGCGCAGGCCCAAAATACGTTTACGCATGCGCGTTTAATGTATAACGGACGGTATAAGCTAAGCTAAAATTATCTAATTCAGTAATGTTGCAGATTGCGTTGTTCCTTAATCTTCAAATTGGATCCAGCTTATTATTTTTTGCAGACTGTTGGAGCAATTTTATAAAAGTAAGCTTGAACTTTTGATTATGTCAAATAGAATTTCCGATATATATTTACTAATATGTAAAGGATCTACAAAGTGAAAGTATGTTTCGAAGTCCATGAAACAAAAAGTGGAATTGCTGCAAAAAAACGGATAAAGGCATATCCTTTGTTTAGATAAACAAAATTTAAAGTTTAGATAGTTAAAGTTTAGTTTGTTTATCTAAACTTTAACGTTTGTTTATCTAAACTTTGTTTATCTTTAACGCGGCAGCGTGCAATGAATTGGAAGTTGACCTGTCAGCACTATCCTTATCTTTAGGGCAGATGTTTTTATTTTATTTGGCTTATAATTCCTTACTAAATGTAGTATTTCATCTCGATGTACTCCGTCGTTGATATGATTTAAATCAAATTCCTCATCATTATAATTCGCTTCCGATAGCGAAGAAGGTAAAGTAAACAAATAAATATTAAGCTTTTTTTTTTTTGTAAATTTTGATACCCTTTAGATCATAATTGTTTTTTATTTCATAAATTACGGTTTCATATTTTTAATTTTATAATTTCTGCATTCCATCTTACCAGATTTAAACTGATTATCTATAATCCGTAAAAATCAATAATCTGGAATCGCCGAAGTCCCAGAGAGTCCGGATTAACGACTTTTGACTGTATAAATTAATAATACTTTTATATTTCAGGCGATTTTCTCTGGCATAGTGAAACTAATTCTATCAGTAATATGACATGACATCATGAAATTTAGTGCACGCATTTTTTACTTATGTATGCTGCTAACTCTAGAACTTACATGCCTCTGCATAACTCACTCTAGAACAAAATTTAAACAAGTTAGAAAATACAGTTATTTGTAGTTGCTGCTTGGATTCACTTTTCATGCTACTAAATGGAATAACTTACTAATATGTTACGATTCTGGAGTTTATTCAATAAATGGAAAGAATGTAATAATTTCTTATCTTTTTATTGTTCTGTCAGGTTTCATGATAATTTTTTTCTGCCCCCTTCCTTCCAAGTACATAAATTTTATTGACAAAATAATATATAAAAGCAGTTTTAAATGTTTAAAAAATAGGTTTAGGAAAGGCATACTAGAAATATATAACATATATCAAATAATTTACATTTAATGATAGCAACCTATATTAAGAAAGATTTCTTAAAATTTAATAGATTTTCAAAACATTCTTATATTCAGATTATGCTGTAATAAATGTATTTGTTTCTTGTTTTAAATCTTGTTATCTTTACAAAACCATTTTTCAAATTTTATACAGGTCGATCTATGGGTGCTCGAGCTGCTGTTATGCTGTGTTCTCACATCAAAACTGAGAACCAGGAACTATTAGAAAATATTTTGGGAATTATTTGTCTGTCTTATCCATTACATAAAGTAAATAAAACAGATGAATTAAGAGATGAACCTTTAAAATCTTTAAAATTACCAGTCTTCTTTCTCAGCGGAACCAAGGATGAAATGTGCAAGAGAAACATTTTAGAAAATGTTTTACGAAAATTGAAATGCCACTATAAAATTCACTGGTTAGAAGGCTGTAACCACAGTGCAAAGCCACATGAAAATTATCAGGAGGATATGTATTGCAGTGCCTTTGATGACATTAAAAACTGGTGTTTATATCTTTTGAAATAAATTAAAATTTCTACACATTTGAATATGATACTGGTATTTCATCTGTAATATATGCATATATTAAAAAAATATATGTCACAATATACACACTCTTTTTTGCTGCTTGCTTATGCACAAGCCATGCCTCTCGCTTGGCTGTATTTCTCCATACTTTAAAATTGTAAGGTGCAGATTGCCTCTGATGTGCTGTGCCTTGCCATAAGATGTGTTTGAATACTGTTACAACAAAGTCTGAATAATAAAGATATTTTCAAATTATTAAGTTCTATAAGATTATTTAAAAGTTACATCTAGGAAGACATCACCAGTATGTCTGCTATTTCTAGTCTAAGCCATCGGTGTATCACTGCCACTCTAGCTATAATTCTACTGAATTTTTTTCAATGCACCAACTTGCACTTGGTGCTGTCAAGCATCACAAAAGATGAATTGAAACAATGTTTTAAAAAAATGGAATAAAAGATTATACAAGTGGACAGTACTTTGAAGGGGATTGAAGGTTTATACTTCAAATGTGAATAAATAAGTTCAATTTCTTAATAAATAAGTTCAAGTTTAATTTTAGGTACCCTCTTATATGTATATAGGGTGTCTCAAAATTTATGCATGATTTATATTGCATGCTACTTCCTCCCTGCTTGGTTGGCAACACTCTGCAGCAAAAAATGTTGTAATAATCACATTCTGATTAGTAATGAGTTAGTTGTGAAGGAGAAGTACATGATGCAGGAGCATATAACCAAGATAAAAACACATTACAATTTACAATAACTGTTAATGGTAGATCCTATTGCAAGATAACAGCATTTTTGTGGCCTCAGTTGAAAGCCGGACTTTGATGCCGACGAGATGTTCTTCCAGCAGGATGTTGCTACATATCACACGACATCCGAAACCATAGAGTTGTTATGGCAGAAATTCCATGCAACAGTTTCAATTTACTATGAAAGTCATGCAATTTTACACTGTGTGACTTTTACCTCTGCGGATTTGTTAAAGTCCAAAGTTTACTGCGAACATATACAGACTAATTTAGAAGTCAAACAACAAAAATCAGCGTTATATTTTCAAATTTTCACAGGACTAGTTTCAATGGTTTTACCAAACCACCATCCTCAGCTGCAAAAGCGCAAATGAACAAGATAAGATATAGTGATTAGATAAGATAAAATTCGAAGTTCCATACTCAAAGACCCCATTCCTGATATAAATTCCTGAGGTATTTACAAGATTCCTTGCCAGTGTGGTTTAATTTACATTGGTTAAACTAAGAGAGCCTTAAAATTTCACGATAAGAAACATGAGGCATAAGTTAGAAAAACGGAAACACAGAAGTCTTCTGTTGCCCAGCATTGTTGTATCGAAAATCACACTTTCAATTTTTCTGCAGCCAAAATTATTCAAGAAACATCTTTCACCATTGGTGAATTAGATTTTCTAGAAACATTTCACATTAAAAAAAAATAATAAGTCTTTCTGTTCTAGTTAACGAACCTAATTCCAATTCATCGTTGCCTTCAGCCTTTAAAGAAATTATGTTTTAGTTCTCATTTCATCAACATATGGCGCCAGTAGTTTAACTCCTGTTCAGTCTTTCTTATCTTGTTCGTTTGTGCTTTTGCAGCTGAGGATGCTGGTTTTATCAAAATTAGTCCTGCGAAAATTTGAAAATACAACGCTGACTTTTGTTGTTCGACTATTAAATTAATACTTGTTCGGCGTGTTATTGTATCTTAATATACCAACTGTTTCTGAACATTAAGAAATATGATGTGTTAAAGATTGTGTGAGTGTCATATAAGGCATGTGCATGAGTGTCATACAAGGCGTGGAAGACAAACTATAAGTCAAAACATTGCCAATGATATGTTGATCTGACCTGCCAATTCATTATAATGGGGAATTGAATAATTTTTGTCCATCTTCTTGACGACAGCAAAAATTATTCATTACAACTGTTCCAATGATCTTGCTTTCTTCACTTTTGGTTAAGTTCTTAATTTGTTCTTACTGATTCTCAACCTTTTTCTTTTGCATTTTTACAATACCTTGGAAGGTTTTATTTTTTGTATTTAACATAATTAACTACAATTAATACATACACAAATATATATATATATATATATATGTAAGATATAACAAAATATGATGGCTGTTTGGAAAAAATAATTGGTGACCAAAATCAACATACTAAATTTGATGATCTGCTCCTAAATTCATCTCTTCTCACAAGTTCCAGACTTTTCTATCTTACGTAACGTTTTAATACAGATGCTTCTTGACTAATCAAATTAATTATAAACCAAAACTCTGAACTGAAACTTTTCCGACTACCACCCTTCTTCCTCTGAAAGTTCTATGATGCTCTTCCCTTTTTCACATAAGCTCTCCTACTGGCAAGATGCTTTTCATCCATGCTGATGCCGCTTACATGCTTAAGATGGCATTGTACTTCAAAATGCAACTTCCTGTATTCAAATATAATTAGGAAACATCTTGTCTGAAAAAAGGATGATTTGATATATTGTGAATTTTCAAAATACAATGTGCTAAATTGCATCATTATGCTTTCCACTCTGCCACCTTCAAGCCACTACGGTCTTCTCGGTCATCTACGCAGCATCGTAAGTTGTTAAAGTTCCAGTGCCTTCATCTACGCATTTTAAAATCATTACATATATATGGCATTTGGTACAACCTTGTCTCCGGTCATCTTGTGGTATCTAAGGCTAGGCAAGTTGCACCTGTTTTGCAGGCCAAACGTCAATGTGTTACTGAGTAGGTGGTCATAATGTTTTGGTTCTTCAGTGTATATATAACGACCTGGCCGGCTGGAAGGTAAAAATCTATGCACTTGTAATTCACGAAAACAATATCAAATAAACTGTTTCAATGTGTATGTGAAAATTGTTTTATATCCATGTAAGATATTGTTTTAAATTTGGATTTCTTTTAATCTTGAATGATATATTATTCATTATGACAACTGAGGAAAATCTTTTCCTCAGTCTTCCATTTATCAATCACACTTTTTTGGTAAATAAACAATTATTTTTAAACAGAAATTTATTCATTTAATACAAAATAAAGCACATTATTTTTAAACATATTTCCCTATAATATTTACAATTTGAAATCAAGTCACGGTTGCTTGCTTACTATTAAAACAGCTGATGGCACTAAACCTGAAATGAAATTTATTGCATTAAATATTAAAGAAACATAAGACACGCATATATATTTACGTAAAATATAAAACATGAAACAAAATGATTAAATTGAATTGGAATAAACTGGTAATAGATCTTCAGACTCATAAATTTTAATTAAATGCCACTCCCCTTCAAAGGAATATTATCAGTAAAATTTGTACACATTTATGATTAAATATATAGGATTGTTTTGAAATTTATTAACTGTGAAAAAATTTTTTGGTCTTTGTGAAACATTTAGTTCTATATTTCTTACTTTATATATATGTATCAGATTTCTTGATTCCTAAGTCCATCTACAATTTCCTAAATTAAATGGTTGAGGAAGGAAAATATTTTTGGGAATTGAAAGAAAGTTATGTCTAGATTTATTGAGATTTTAAGCAGCAATGATTAATGTTACAAGTTGAAATAAAAAAAATTACATTAAAAATATTTAAGAATAAGTGCATGAAAGAAATGTGTGTAATATGGTCTATATAATACTTTATAAATTATGTTTATAGATGCACTCTCAAGTCATGTTTCACTGTATAACTCGTAGCTATGCACATAGGCTATTTCAGATAGCCAGCCTGTAATTTCCATTTTTAAAAGGCTATTTCATAACTGAAGGTTACAATATATTAATGATTTAAAACTGACACCAGAGAAACACAGAACATGAAATTATAATCATGCTTTAAAATTAAATGAGCAAAAACTATAGTTACTGCTTCAATAAGAAGGCAATTCTTTATAAAAATTACAATTTCGGTATCTGTATGTTGGTGATTATGATTGGAAATTAATCCTTCTTTAAACATTTTGGCACGGTAATCTTGATGAATAAAGGTTTTAATACAGAAAATAAAAAGAAAGGAAACAGATTCATAAAAATCTTTCTTCCATGTAATATCTGTTACAGTAATTAAATAAAAAAAAGTTATCTAATGTTATTAAACATGAATTAAAAATTCTCCGAAACAAATAAATAGTTCCATTTTCAATAAAGGTATCCAGAAATTATGAACTTCACAAACTTTTTTTAAAGCCCTAATATTATGTAACTAATAAAACCAAAAAATATTACAGTTAAGTGTTCATTATACAATTATAATGTGTGCGGTTTATTGCAGTTCAAATGATTGAAATGGCTATTCTCTTTAAAAACGCATGATTTTATTTAAACAGACTTAAAAATAAAATAGTAGTAGATCACTAACATTGATTAAACATCATTGGACATGCAAAGTATCTCCTGTATATTAGATTTCTTATTCAGAATTTATTCTTATACAGAATAAGACATTTGATGAAATGCAAATCATTTTCTTCTATGCTATTCAATCCATCGTAAACATGCTTTTGAGAATTTAATTCAGTAAATGTTCTCCAGTGATTTGCAAAGATTACAACAGAAATGCTTGTGTCATGAGCAGTTACTTTTCTATAATTACTTGAAAACAAAAACAGCAAAGAAAGGACCAGCAACTTGTTGCTAACGAGCAGAACTACAAAGAAAAATTTCAGAATCCTTACAGACATAGCTGGATGGCTTGGTTCAGTTTATTTAATTATAGCAAAGCACATGAGGACTATCTGCTTAAGATGAGAGGGATGCATTTGTGGAAAAACCTTTTAAAGGAAACTAGCTTATATACACATTATACATGGAGAAAACCATGAAAATGTCCATGCAGCCAACCTGTTTACTGAGATTCAAACCTGCCTAAGATGAGAGGGATGCATTTGTGGAAAAACTTTTTAAAGGAAACTAGCTTATATACACATTACAGATGGAGAAAACCATGAAAATGTCCACGCAGCCAACCTGTTTACTGAGATTCAAACCTCGGTTGAACTACCAGTGTTCAGCGACTTTCCCACTTGGCTGCTAGTGGGCATTAATAGGTGGAAGTTGTGAGTATCTCAGTATCTAACGTTCAATTCTTCTCAGTATCTAACGTTCAATGTATGTCTCGCATATGGTATTAATAGTGTCTGTTTATCCTGTATGGTACTATAGTGTCTGTCCATGCTCCCCCATGTATTGCTCCTAAAGTC